GATTGTGACCGGCAAAAATGAATCAAAATTGAGCTACATTAGGACATGAGGCCCATGACAATCTTGACAACACTAGGTTAGATATAGATCAGCACTAGTATGGTGAAAGAGGGGGCAGATAAGATGAGGGTCAGAAATAATTGTTTCACCGCGTGTGAGTGTGTATTAACTGTGCCAACTATTCAGGGGTTTTGTTGGGATAATTATCTAGCTGGACTTTACTGAGGTTTACCAATAATGTCAAATGCCAATTGACATTCTCATCTCGTTTCGTATCTTTATGTTTTTAACTTGTCTAACTCCGATGAATACCTGTAGTGTGTGTATAAAGATGAATTTCAGCGATTTTTTTTATCATGATCTTAGGCCATTATGTTTGGATGAACATTGTGCAAGTGCACTGAGGTTTCTAAAGCCAGATATTGAGGATGTCTAGATATATGCTTCAGACTTCCAATTAAATGTTATTGAATTTGTGTATTCAGATCTTGTACCTAGGGAAGCTGTGGAGAAGTGGCTCAAGTATCTTAGGGAGGAATTGCCAGCAGTTGCCTTCAAATGCAGCACCCAAGAGCAGAGATCGAACTTAGGTTGGAAATCCTCCAAGGCAGCAAAACCAAGCTCTCTTTTGCAAACAAGTGATTGCCTTGGGGCCGAAACTCTGATTAAATTGCTGAAAAATTACTCAAGAAGTCATGAGGTAGTTCCAGAATTGAGTAGTTATTTATGATAATTTTTTTGTCAATTTGGCACATATTATTTTTTGACTTCCAACTTGTTTACTTGTCTTTGAAGTTTTAATATCTGATTCACATTGGTGTTTGACAGATCAAAAAGTCTATTACAGTTGGTGTTATTGGCCTACCAAATGTTGGGAAGAGTAGTCTCATAAACAGCCTGAAGAGATGCCATGTTGTGAACGTTGGTGCTACTCCAGGATTAACGAGATCAATGCAAGAAGTTCAGCTAGACAGGAATGTTAAATTATTGGACTGCCCTGGTGTTGTAATGCTCAAGTCTGGAGGAAATGATGCTTCCATAGCCCTTCGAAATTGCAAAAGAATTGAGAAGTTAGATGATCCAGTTAGTCCAGGTGATTTTAATTAATAACGAAGAACATAGAGATATACAGTTGTCTATATATATTTATTGAAAATAGTTTTCGCAAATAAATATGCTAGTATGTTTCAGAGCCTGCTGCCTCGGTTCACTTTAATTTCATGCTGATTATGGGTTTATATGTAGTTCTGAAAATAAAATCTTTCCCTTTTTAAGTAGCTTGATAAAAGTTTATAGATTTTTTGTTAGGGATATGAAATAAGGCATAGAAATATGGTTACCAAAGAGCTTATATGAATTGAGAAAGGTACATGATAATCAAGAATGAATCTGTGAGATGTATGTTCTTTCTTTCCCATTTAGGTATCTTGGTGGAGCTCATTTTTCTTACCTGATATCTTTTCTGTCAGATGCTATTTAGCAATCTAACTCATACCTTTGCTTCTGTTCATAACATAGTGAAGGAAATTCTCAAGCTCTGTCCAGACAGATTGCTGGTGACATTATACAAAATTCCCACGTTTAGTTCAGTTGATGACTTCCTTCAGAAGGTGGCTACAGTTAGGGGGAAGCTAAAAAAGGGTGGTATTGTTGATGTGGAAGCCGCTGCAAGGATCATTTTGCATGATTGGAATGAGGGTATACATCTGTTGGATTTATTCAGTCCTACATGCAAAGAAAAGTTTGTAGTGGCGGGAAAAACAGTAAAAAATTATTTTCTGACGAACTAATCAATTTGTTTGATATATTTTAGGTAAAATTCCATACTTCACAATGCCCCCAACAAGAGATCAAGAAGGGCATTCAGAGGCAAAGATTGTTTCTGAACTTGGAAAGGAGTTCAACATTGATGAAGTGTACAGCAGTGAGTCATCCTTCATTGGTAGTCTGAAGACAGTTGATGATTTCCGAACTGTTGAAGTCCCTCCTAGTTGTCCTCTCAATTTTGACGAGGCAATGTTAGAGGTTTGTGATCTCCCTTCAATTTTTTCTCGTACTTATAATGTGCTAGTGTACAGAGCATATGGACATTATAGTGTCTACGCCTCTTTGCTTGAATGCTTCCTGAATGTGCAGTCAAATTGAGTTACCTTCTTGATATGTTACATTTCAGGAAGATTCTCAACCGCAGCCATTGAGTCAAGGAGATGAAAATCCAGCCTATATGTCTGATGATGGGGATAATCAGACTATGGATGGTGATGAAGATGACACAGGAAAGGCTAGGGAAAAATCTGTGACCAGCAGGCAAAATGAGAAATTATATTCAGCAGAAGGGATATATAATGCTAAGATGAAAAGGGCTGAGAAAAAGAGGAGGAAAAAAATTAATAAATCAACAATTTCAGACGATCAAATGGATGGTGATTATGATTTCAAGGTGGATTACATCAAGAACAAAGGTTCTGGCATGGATGTTGAAGATGAAAATGCAGATGATAAAATTATTGGAAAGGTGCCAATGGCTGGACTTTTGCCTGAGGAGTGATGAGAAATTGAGGATCAAATGGTCGGCTGCACATTTTTGTAGCAACTCTAGATGATGATAAAATTGTATTCAAATATGAATCTTGCATAATGTAGAAAACCTCGGTTAGAAGCTTGATCAGATTGAGTTTTATTATAATGCATTTTTGGCGCATTATCATCTGATTTAATTAGTGAATCAAGTTATCCCCACAGCTTGAAAGTAAACTGAAGTCTTCTTTTTATTGTTAGAGGGGAGGAACTGGGATGAAACTTTGGTGTTTGTTGTCCCACTACACATTAATCTGAGTCTGAGTTGTTTGACATGGTGAAAAGAGGCTGCGGATAAATGAGATCTCTCTGCAAACCTTATTGCCAAGATTGCCAATTGATTAGAGCTGTTGAGGAATATAAAGGCACAGTAGAGAAAAAAAAAACATTCTAAACCTTTTTTATCTCAAAGAGGAAAGAGAAAATCATAGCACATGCCAAAACTGAGTCATGTTAGAGGTAGTAATATATTGCTGTCAAAGCTGGCGACCAGACCCCAGCGGTTGAGAAGGGGACCTCCAATATACTTCTGTACCTAAAATATTTTAAATACTTCAATCTACATCTAATACCTAAAATAAGCCCTTATATTGACATCGTAGAAAATTTTGGTGTACATGATATAAAATGGAATCAATTTAAAAAATATGAGGGTTTTGTTGTTTTATGCTAATTATAAAAAATGTTGAGTAACTTTTGGCCAAGGTGAAATTCTTGTAATGTTTAGATAAAAACATTTAAATGTCATCATGTATATTTCAAAAAGGAAGAGGAAGACCCATCAACTTCAGATAAATCACCGTAGTTCAATTCCAATTTTATGGATATTTCAACTAGGAAGAGGAAACATTGGCCATGTGTGTAGGTCTTCCTTTACCCATTTCATGATGCAAAACTCACCAGTCTACCCAAAGAAATCAGTAAACCAGAAAGCTATAATAGGTGATGGTAACTTTATTTTCAGATGTGTTCTAAGATGTGGTAACTATATTTTTCAGTTAAGAGTTCCATTGTGTTACATAAAAAACTATAAGACAGATGGAAATGGCAGTTTAGTTTTCATTTGGAACGTCCAAAACAGTGTCCTCGCCAGCAGGATTCTTATTTGTCTCAACAGTGGTGGGATCAGACACTGATGAGGATGAACTTGCAGGAGTTATACCATTGTTTATTGAGTGTGAAGGTCCTGAAGCAAGACCATTGGTGACTGAGCTCATTGTCTTGGTGGTTGTAGACTTAGCAACAATTCCCTGTGCCTCCATTGTTTCACGTGCTGCTTTCTCCTTGGCTCTTTTGGCTCTCTCCAACACCTCTTCCTGCATAGAATTATATATTCTTGATATATGTGCATTGAGTATGATACTAACGGACTATAACATGAAAATAGAATCAAACACATGCCCCAATTCAACTAGAAAATGAAACCAGATGTTATCAAGACAATTCACTAATTAACACCAAGCACCACTGAAAACACCATCTGTTCACCAAATCTTTGAAGTTTACTGTCTTTAATCCTCAAAAAGTAATTATGTATATAGCAGTGATATCATGCACAGGTAAGAGGTAATTGATCTTCAAGCATAAATTGATCTCTATCAACTCAGAAAGGAGAACTAGAATATGGTAATCTCTGCGGTTCATAATAGTTGTTAAAGTCTCAAATTAAATTTCATTTTAGGGTTTTCATATCATGTTTGGGACACAAGATTCAACAAGTTCAACATTAAGGAGAAAGCCTCTAATAGGATGAAAATATCATTTATATTAAGCTTATGAGACTTTTTTGTCAATCTATCAAATAGGGACAAGATTTTTCAGTTCACAATCTGTGTACTAAACTGATATTAGAATATCTTTTTTGTCAATGGAACATAAAGATTCAGTTGCTTCCTTCATTTCCTCATATATAGTCTTCAAAAATCAAGATACTTAAAACTTAATAGGGACATAAGTTCTACAAAAGCTCACCAGAAGAGAGTAGACAGTATCACCTCAAGGCTTGGAACTCAGTTAAATGTTCTAAGAACCTCAGGGGAGTTGGTTTTAGATCTTTGCTGGCAATCAAAAGATCCCTTATGGCAAAGTGGCTAGGGAGATTCATGGCTTCTGACAGTGGCTTATGGAAGGAGGTTGTAACTGTTAAATATGGCTTGTTGGAGAGTGGGTGAGAAACTGCAATATTTAGACAGGCCTACTACCGGGCTCTGAAAATGGATTAGTAGGGGAATGGGAAAAGAGCGAATTTTTGGCATCATTGCCTGGTGTGAGGCTTTTTCCCTTTAAGGGAGCAGTTTCCAAAAAAATTTTATGTGGCAAGAGATAAAGAGGCTACTGTTTGAGAGCTCATTGCATGGAATGATTCGCTTTCTCCTCGTGGAACATTCTCCTCTCTTTCAGCTTGAATGATTGGGATATTGATGACTTAGCAGGGCTTTTGTTGCTGGGGCATGGCTGCCCTTTGTGTCTCATAGAGATCAAATCCCCTAATCATCTCCTCCTATAGTATTCCAAGCATAGATGATTATGTGATTCTGCTCTTAGCCTTCTCAACCTTGCATGAACAGTCAGTTGTTTGGCACAGAAGAATTATGGGCTTCGGATGGCATCTCCGCTGATGAGGAAAAAAAAGCTTATTTCCCTCATCCCTTTAGCTATTTTGTGGGTGATTTGGAAGGAAAGGAACTATAGAATTTTTTAGGATAATACCCCTTCTTTTGCTAATATTAGAGATCATCAGTTCTGGACTCTCAAGATTTTCGTTTTAGAGGTCACTCTATCCTCTCTGGAGAAGATTTTGGAACCTCTACTTATTTTTGTGTGTTCCTTTCTTTTATACAAGGGTGGCACACACCCTTGGTGCCCTTAAATATATATTCTCTTTTTATCTAAAAAAAACTTACATAAGCTCGCATAACAATCTAGAATAATTCATTGAAAATATCTGATCTACTTGTCCAACACTACTCATGAAGTCAAAGAATCAAACTTTCGACACTTCAATGCCTAGAACCAAAACTGCAGAACCAATGAAGTTCGTATTTTCTCAGAGTATTTTTCCAATTCCAACCATGGCAAAACAAACATAAAAAAAATTGCGGCTTTATATCACTTATGAATTTTGAATGGAGAACAACATGAACTAATTGCTACCTGGAAGTCCTGCAATTGCTTTTGCTGCTCAGCTTGCAACCTGCCAACTGTGCTCAAAACCTCCCCAATTGTTGACTCAATTCTCTCGTTAAGCGCTTCTGCTAGAGCCTTCCCTAAAAAAAATGCATCCAGCACTGTCCTGCTATCTCCGTCACCTGCAACTTTCAGTCCCTCATTTCTCTAACAGATAGATAAAAGCTTGCACCTCAATCAATAACCCACAGGACATATTTGAAGAAAGACGCGCCCATATCCAGAAGAAGAAAAATTTAGATGGGAAACTATAGGGTATTGTACCTGAACCAAAAGCCCGGATCCTGGTGCTCCTGTTGCACTGTAAAGCTTTTCCTGGATGCAACTTTGGTCCTTCGAATCGAAGAAAGTGGAGAGTGGGAATGGATTTAGTCCTAGGGGCTCTGAAGTGTTGAAAGGCAGAGCAGGTAGTCGTGAAATGTGATGGATCTTTCACCACCCCACTCATTTTTTCAGAGTATCTCGTCTCGATTTCACAGCAGAAAGAGAGTTCTCTTCTTCCTTACCCTGTTTCTACTCGACAAAAATGGATTTTGCACGTACCCAACTTGGACCTTCTTAGACTAAAAGTTTTTTCAGCAGAAAAGAAATGGGGAGATATTAATCCTTTTCTCTCCGGCAAAGGAAAATTAGCTGTCGTCAAATATTCATTTTGCAGAAACTTACCATTAAAAAAATTATTGTTAGTGGATTTGACAAATGGGGTGGTGGCGCAGTTGGCTAGCGCGTAGGTCTCATAGCTTCGAGAAATCCTGAGGTCGAGAGTTCGAGCCTCTCTCACCCCAGAATTACCCTTTTTTTTTTTTTTTCTTTTTTTGTATTTTCAGATTATTTATCAAATATTTATCTTAGCAAATAAGAGCTAATTGGGATGAGTGAATTAATTATAAGTTATAAGCAGATTCGTGTAATTAATCTACTCGTATTTATATTCTGCTTTATTAATACTTATCTGATTTACTTTTAAATAAATGAAAATATAATTTTCAAATTAAAAAATTTCTTATTATTTAATAAATGTGCATATTATTTTCTGAATTTAGAGTATTGTTGTACCTTGATAATACCATCATACCACGATACAATCTACAAAAACTAAGATTTGGAGCTTGTACTCACACGTTTATGAATATTAATTTATGTTTTATTTTATTATACCATAATACCGAATTTTTGTTTTTTTATTTATAAATGTTTAGTTATATAATAGTTGAAGAATAAACGTGTGGCATGCAAAGGGACATAATAGAATGTATAATATTTTAATTACTAATTTAATATAAATACATGAAAACAAAATAAAGGTAAAGAATTCCAATTTAGTAAAATTCTAAAATACAATTCCAAATTTATTAATTCTAACAAGTAAAAGTCTTTAAAAAAGAAAAAGTCAATGATTCAACGAGCAACTAATAAATGAATGAAAAATAAATGCAAATGAAATTCAAAAAGTAAATTTAAAACAATTTTATGCTGTAACTTAATTCATAAATTTAAAATAATAAATTTATTTTATGCAAAAAGGTTCCTGTAATATTTAAATTTTTTATTATACTAAATTAAATATTATAAATTAAAATAAAATTTAAATTCAACCATTCAAATTCAAAAGACAGGCTTTGGACCAACCAGAAAAGAAAGAAAAAGGAGGGTTCCGTGGCATTCCCGTTATTTCTGATGAATTTGGAGGGTAGCGAAACTACGGAAGATCAAAGGCGACGCTACCTATAGCTTCCCATCTAAGCCAAAAAGAAACTCTCTTTCTCTCAATACGACAACCATTTTCTTCCTTCGTTTCCTCTCTGCAACAGCAAAAACCTACCAAACCTCTGTCTCCTTTCTCTGTTATAGCGTTAGGGTTAGGGTTTCTGTAGTTTGTTAGCCGGCGATGGGGCAGCAATCCCTGATCTACAGCTTTGTGGCTCGAGGCACCGTCGTGTTAGCAGAGTACACAGAGTTTACAGGCAACTTCACCAGCATAGCGGCTCAGTGCCTTCAGAAACTCCCTGCCTCCAATAACAAGTTCACCTACAACTGCGATGGTCACACCTTCAACTATCTCGTCGACAACGGCTTCAGTATCTGCTCTATCCTCCCCTCCTCTCTTATGTTTATGTTCACTTGTTTCGCTTTAGCTCTGATCTGAATCTAAGCTCGTTTCTGTAACTTCTTTGATTGTTTGATCGCGTTCCTGTTGTGTGGATACCTGATAATGATTTTTTCGCATATTAATTTTTCTGTCGGTTGTGATCGATTATTTGGCAAGTATTTATTATTATCGAGGTTGGAAAGTTTTATTTTGGATGATCAAGTTCGGTGTAGTTGTCTAGAGGATTCTTGCTCGATTTGCTTTGCGTTTGATTTGTTAGGGTGGTTGGACTTTCCATAGAAACTTTCTCCATGAGTTCTCTTCGTTCAGTGGACTTCTTATTGCGAGAATAGTTGTTTACTTCCAGTTATTTCCTTATATATTTGAGTGACGGAGAATATAATTTGATAGATCGTAAAGTGTTAGGTAATGATAAAATGATAATGTTTCATGCTTGTTTGGTATTGTTTTGTATCTTATCATCACGTTAATATTTTATTCAAGACAGCAACACGTTAGAACTTCATGGTCTTTTGTTGTCCATAAATCAAGCTTTCATAATTTCTTCCCAGCTGCAATAAATGGTTATATTAGGACTGGCTGAGTCAAATCTCTCTCTCTTGTTTTCAACTTTCTGTTCTATTTTGGCCTCCGTATTTATCAATTCAAATCTTTCGTTATCTTGTTTATTTTGGTCCTGTTATTGCAATAAGTGTTTATGACCTGTTTTAATGCCTTTCTGATTTAAATGAAATTCTTATTGAAGATGTCACTTTATCCAGAATTTGATATGTTAACTCCTATGGTAAGTTGGTAATCAGATTAAACTGCTAACATCAGTGTAATCAATATCCCCAATAGAAAAGATTGCCCATATGCCTAACTATAGGTTGCATTATCTAGTTGTTTCAAAGAGTATTTAGTGTGATTCTGGAAAAAAAAAATATTTACTGAGGGAGTAGCTGGCTCTCAACAGCTACTTCTTCGCCTGTAATTTGGATTAATAACAGAACAGATGCACAACATAGTTGCCAAATCCAAAACCCATTTGATTATGTTCATGTTTAATCTTTTAACAAGTTATGAACTTTATCAAGAAAGCATAAGGATGTTTTGCTGGTCTGCTGTAATACAGATAAAAGTAGCATAGTATTTCTTTTCCTCATGTTTTTGCTAGTCACGAGAGCTCTTTGTTGGTTCTTCATGGCTTAAGAATGTTTTCCCTTCTTCCCTGGTTAAAAGATTGATGCTGTTTAACCATCTCTTATAGCTGGTAGTGTTTTCGGATATTTAAAACTGTATTGTAATTTTTCACTGAGTTTCCTATTTTACACAAGAAGAAACCTGTTTATGAAAAAGATATGAATAATAGAAGTGCATACCCTTCTCAGCAGAGGGCAAGCAATTTATGACCTATCCTCCAATAAATCACAAATATGGTTATTTGTTCCACCAAATCATGTTTTTTGCAATCTATGCTATTGCTACCAACTGTTCCTTCTGGCTGTCCGAGCATTCTAGATGATTAGAGAAATGAAGAAATTTGGACAGTTGAGTTGATTCATGAGCAAAGGTTTTAGTCTAAAAAAGAATATATAATTTAATAATTACAGGAACAGATAAGTCAACGGCGTTATATATTTAGTAAATGGAAGTTTATCTATGGTAGATTTTTGTTGATTTGAATGAGAGCTTGTGCATGAATGGACAATCTTTTCCCAGTAGTTCTTCTTTTTGTCATGTTTTCAGGATCAATTATTCATTTAGAAGTACATCTCATCCCCTTTATTTTCCTGTTACACCAATTATTTTAACTAACCTACATTTTGTATCTGGCAGCTTATTGTGTAGTCGCTGTTGAGTCTGTTGGCCGGCAGGTTCCAATTGCCTTCTTGGAACGAATCAAGGAAGATTTTACCAAGAGATATGGTGGAGGAAAAGCTGCCACAGCAGCTGCAAATAGCCTGAATAAAGAATTTGGGTAATGCCCTTTTGTCATTTCTAGTATGCAACATGTAAATGAGATATATTTTCTCGTGTGTAATAAAATATATTGATATATCAATTTGTATATTGGCATAGCTCCAAACTGAAGGAGCATATGCAGTATTGTGTGGATCATCCTGAAGAGATCAGCAGGCTAGCTAAAGTTAAAGCACAGGTGTCAGAAGTCAAAGGAGTTATGATGGAGAACATAGAAAAGGTAAGGCATTTAAGCAACTTTTTCTAAATGCTAAAATGCAGTTGAGCATCTCATTCAAAAAAGGGAGGGGGGAGGGGGGGCAGTTAAGTATCATACTTATCGCTTCGTATTTTTGAAGATCATCTATTTCATCTGATGGTTTTCTATGTTTCATGGACCATTATGGTATTGAAAGTGGTTTAGAGCCTTGCTTCTCATGGCCCTATTTTGCAGGTTCTTGACCGCGGAGAGAAAATTGAGCTTCTGGTGGACAAAACAGAGAATCTTAGATCTCAGGTCAGCTAATGCATTCAATGTGGTTAACAGCTTCACTAGGCTACATTGGTAGCATTTATCTAAATTTGAACTTGCATTGTATCATAACAAATTGTGGAATTGCTAGACTGGTTCAACACCTAGAATGAAAATGCAAATTATATAGCAACAACATGAGAGGCTTTTTATGAATGGAAACGAAATAATATAGTAACAAAATAATAGACACAAGACATTTCATTGAAGAAAGTGATCTCTTTATTTTTTTTTTTAATATGCAAAGCATATGTCTTTTCAGTTCTTACTAATTATTTTATCTTATAATAATGTTACTTTAGTTTGAAATATTTTCATTGCTATTTTGGTTGGGTTACGAGTCTATAGATTTATTGAAGTCTATAGATTTATTGGTGTAAAGCTTCACTCCACTTATATCTGAAGTAATGCCAAGCAAAATCTGGGGTTCTCTTTGGCTTGGTTTTTATTTTCATGGATTGCATGGAAGTGATGGGTTTTGGAGTCCATTAATTTTGTCTTCCCATTATGTACTTATTTCCTGTGATTTATAATGTGAGTGTTGTGGTGATGCAGGCGCAAGACTTCAGGCAGCAGGGTACGAAGATGAGAAGGAAGATGTGGTTTCAGAATATGAAGATAAAGCTGATTGTTCTTGCTATCCTGATTGCCTTAATTCTTATCATAGTTTTATCTGTCTGTGGTGGCTTCAAATGTTGATGGGTCCTATGCACTCCATGAGTGGATCCTTCTGCTCTCAAATTGTATTGATTGTCTGGATCATGCATTTTTTTTTTTGTTACAAGGTGCTTCCTATTATAGCCTTTATCATAAGACACTGCTTGTATAGTCTGTATTTTGGAAAATATTTTGACACTAGCAAGGTTCTTAATGTGTGAAAGTGTGTCACTTCTTTATGTTCCAGACTAAATATGGTTGTGTCCTGGGTATATGTTGGAGTAGGATGAAGCTCATTTTTGTTGTATGTTAATAGTGACCCTGGTTGAACCTTTGTTGTGGTGGCCAAGTCTGCGGACATGACACAGAATTCTGTTTTATACAACGTTCTAATATTCAGAACCGAACCGAGGGCACTAAATGATAAGGTGAGAGAAAAAGCGGAAAAAATAAAGCACTTCTGATTTCCAGAAGGGCATGTACCTTAAAGCGTTACATTATTTAAATTCCATTTTGGTTAGCTTTTTACAATAGCTAATAACGATCAACCATTGAACATTAAGAGATAAACCTTTGATTTCTCCTTGGAAAAGCTCCAAGATGGATTTGCATTTCCACATAAAATAAACCCCCCAAAAGACCCAACTATTCTGATCTTAATGAATTCTTTATGTATGATCTTTAAGCATCTATTAGGAAAAAGACAAAGTGTTAGAATCTTTATTGACAATTAATCTCACTGTTCAATAAATCACCAAAAGGGAAAAAAACATTGCAACTCCCGTAGGAAAGGTTTCAGAAAAGGAAGAAGATTTCAAGTTTTCATATCTTGATTTCGATGTTATCTATCAGCCTCACTTTTCCAAACCAGGCAGCAATGCAGAATACAACGGGACTCCTAATCTCTTCCACCTCCTCCAAGCTCTCTTGGTCTACAATCTGTTACCAAGAAGAAGCACTTAAGTCAGAAACACCACAAAATTAAGCTGTCAACTGATATAAATAATGCTCTTTTCCAGTTGAAAAGCTTCAAGGTCTCCCATGAAATGTTCACACTATTGTCAGCAACATGATGATTGTTCAATTATAGGATTGTTCGGTTGAAATTTCATATGCAGATGAAAGATCCACATTTGTAACAAATACTGGAGAAATGTGAAGGCCACATAAGGATGAATCTAAATGCTTGAATGTAACTTGTTTCCACGTGTTTAAAGCATGATGCTCCCTTTGTGCTACAAAGCACTAGTCAGCCGACGAGGTGAGAGAAGTTTGAAAATCCTACAAGGCCAAGTTTGTGATATACCAAAGTGGAAGAAGTATGCCTAGCCTAGAAAGATGATATAAATGAAACATCATCAATTACAAGCAACATGCACTTTTCCTCTTTGGTGTACTTGACTAGTCATATACAACTCCGGTTGGTTTTAAAAGAAATTATTTAGAAGACTTGACTTCATTCTGAGGCCAAAATGGCATTCAAACGGAAAAATTAGTATATTATCTTAACCTATCTAAACATGCATAGAACACAAAGAGGGACAGGATGTTCAGGCCTCACCTCAGCATAATCTACTCTTCCCCCAGCGTTGTGTATTTCTTGGATGACCAAGTCTCTTAGTTCCCTGCAATTAACTTGACCTTTCTCCACAGAAGCTTTTGCCATCAGCAATGACCTACTAATAGACAATGCCTGCAAAGTACAGTAAATATTCTTTCAGAGATATATTTTGAATGAAACATTATCCCTGACGAGTTAATTTTTATAAGATGAGTTATACATAGACTCGAGATTGAAATGCTAAAAGCATTTTTTATCAATGTATAAATGTAAAGAGACTGCTTCTACTGTCACAAATAGAATATATCAGTCAAGTAGGACCTTTTTCCTTTCTTCAGGTGAGAGGTGCACATTTCGTGAACTCAATGCAAGTCCATTATCATCTCGCCTTATTTCAGAACCTATCACTTCAATAGGAAAATCAAGATCTTGAACCTGTTCCAAATTCAAAGGAGAGTAAATCATCATGATGCACTATGTGTTTGTATATAGGTAGTGATTAAACACCATGTGACTCATATCAGGCTTAAAGCTGGAGTAGAAAGAAAGCATATTCAATTTGGCCAAACAAAGGAACGAAAACAGGTCCGACCCTACCTCTTAAAATAAAATGTGTGAGCTGAAAACTGAAATACAGAAAACTAACTAGGGAACAGAAGTACCTTACTGAATTCGGAGTTTTGTATCTTGAATTTGTAGAATGTTCCAATTCTTTTATGTTTTTTCTAATAAGCTAGTAGTTTTGTATGATCCATCAGAGTTTTCAATAAAAATATTTTTATCAGAACAATTCATAATTCCTCCATTTTTATTTCAAACCCAAGAAAATCATACTTATTCCATAAAAATATGTTATTTTTAGCACCTAAACAAGAGGAAAGACAAGAATAATATTAAACGTTATGCTACCGTGTACTAACAATCAAAATTTGCAAAAGGGATTTCGGTAGATGTTGGCTTCTCTGCGTTGCTAAAAAAGCTATATCCCATTCTGATCCTACTCCAGTGTTCCTCACATCAATTCAAGTGAAGAGAAATTCAAGGAAGGTTAAAAATCATTACCATTCGCTGAATAATTCGCCATTGTTGGTAGTCCTTTTTACCAAACACAGCGACATCAGGCTCCACTATATTAAACAACTTGGTGACGACAGTGGCGACCCCTCTAAAGAACACAGGCCTGCTCTTCCCGCACAATCCCTTCTCCAATTTCTCAACCCTAACCCACGTCTGGTGCCCCATCCCCTTCTCCTCCAAGCAAGACACCATTCCGCCCCCTCCACCTCTGCTTCCTTTCCTGCAATCCTTCGTATCATATAGATTTTGGGGATGGAAAACAACGTCCACGCCACCAGGAACAGAGGCGAGCTTGAGGAGATCGCCATGGAAATCAGATGGGTAAGTGGAGAGGTCCTCGGTGGGAGAGAACTGACCTGGATTTACATAGATGGAGACAACTACGAGGTGGGTGTCTTTTCGGGCTTCTCTGACGAGAGACAAGTGGCCTTCATGGAGGTAACCCATGGTGGGGACAAGACTAATGGTCTTGCCTTGGGATCTCATTTCTCTTGACCATTTCCTCATCTGTTCCTTGTCTGTTATTATCTGTGGTTCCTTAGCCGCTGCCATTGAAATGAAGAATTCTTGTGGGTATGGCTTTAGAGTAATCTTGAGTTGAAGAATGGTTACTTGTTATACATAAATTTACGCTGTCTTTACAACGGGTGCAGACAGATGAGGGTGCAACTTACAAGTGAAGGCGATTCGACACTAACGAGTTTGCAGATAAGTTTCAAGCCGCGTAAATGGCCAACAGAACGTTGTCATTAATTCAATTAAAAAATTATTAAACTTGCAATAGCTTCTCCTCATATTTAAGGATGAGCAGGGGACTACCATAGAACCGGTAGATTAAGCTCTATACTTAATACTTTTAATAAAAAAATATAAGATTCATATATACTATATTTTTGAAATGAGTAATAAAATTTTTTTAAGGAAAATTTTTTATTTGTTACCCATTTACATATTTTTTTAATTCATATTACCAAGAATTCCTATAGATAATAATTTTTTTACTACACTATCTTGATAAAAATGGAGGTTTAATTAGATACTCAGATTAATAAACATTCTTTTTTAATTTAAGATGATTACTTGACACACTTTTAGTCACACAAAATACAAGCATTACTTGCTTCCTCATTTCCTAATTGAAGAATGGAACCAATGAAGGTTGGTTCCCATTCAACCAATTACTTTGCTAGCTTCTCCCATTTCCTAATCTTTATCTCTATACATCTACATATTGTTACATAATCACACAGACAAAAAGAAAATAGTAATTAACAGACCAACTGATTTCTTAAGGAAGAGATCTCCTCAAAAATTGGAAGTCTTCTGGACCTAAAGGGAGCCCATTTTACAAATTCATCCTCAAGCGCCACAAGCTCTGAATTATCCTCTTCTCTTATTGCTTCCATCACCAATTCTTCTGCTCGTTGCTTTGTTCTGTAATCATCTGATCCTGCAACTCTGCCTTCCACCACTTCTTCAATAACACAACGTGCCTCTCTGTACCGACCTTGTTTAATCAGACAAAATCCCAAGTTGCAAGCTTTGTTGGCGTCTGCCTCTATCATCTGAGCTTTTCTGTATACCACTTCTGCTGCCATGTAGTTTTTTTGCTGCATGTACGCCCAACCCAGGTTTCCCTGCACTCATGTTTTATACATATATGTTATTTTTCAAGGTTATTTGTGTATACATAGGTGTATGTATAAGATACTGGTGTATGAGATGAAAGGTGAGGTGGGTTAAGTAAGTACCAGCAATCTTGAGGTTTCTTGCTGGACAGAGACCTGGAACTTCTTGCCATGAGAGCGAGCAGTCTTGGTGGGTTTTCCATTGAAGGCTTCACCTTGGTATATCATTCGTAACTTCCTCTTTAGCAGCTCTACTTGCTCCTCTATTCTACCGCATTTCTGTACATCATTCAGCTTCTTAGTTTGATTTTTCATTTTATAATTTGGATTGGTTTTTGGTATTGGGAATGTGTGTGTGTGTGTGTATATATATATATACATACCTTGTACAAGTCAATAAGAACGTTATCGAGTGATTCTTGGGCGCTCTTTGGGCAGCGACCTCTAAAGGACTTGATGGCTTCAATGGCTTCCTCACTTCTGTCCACTTGTTTCATCACCACTGCCATGTCCTTCAACGCACTCTCTACTCTATCTCCTGCATTTATTGCCTTCCAAAACAACACTATTGCAGCTTCCGGGTCCTTCTCAACTAGCTGCATTTTAACATAATTAATCAACTTTTACATATATCCACCCCATTGACTGATTCATTAGGATGCAAATATACACGTATTAATCAACTAATTTATTAGGATGAACGTATTAATCATAACATAATTTTTTAATATGGGAGCAGAGATTCGGATTTCAACCCCATCAATGATTAGTTGATACTTCGAAGGACAACTAAGAGATTAACTCGATCATGCTCTGCATGAAGTAATCATCATGTTGAAAGTTTTATAAAAATGGGCTTTTGTATATATGCGTTTATAATACATATTCAAAATTAAATGTTTAACTAAACAAATGAAAATTACAAAATATTAGATATAAGAGCATCCAAGAATCTCAAAAAGAAAATTTACAGAAACGTATTGAAAGAACAAACAACTCAAACCGTAACCTATCAAAATTGTAGTTTAGGAAAAAGGAAGAAAAGAGTGGATGTACGAGAAATGAATGTGTGTACCTGGGCATGTTTGGCTCTGACATATGGAGAATCACCGTAAGGAACCTTATGAACGACATGGAAAAGGTCTCTCTGTTTTTTACTGGGCGAGGTGGTGCTGCTCATCTTCTTTATTAATAAACTTCCTTCCATTCTCCGATCCGATCTGAGGAGCTCTCTATTTACAGAAAACTGAAAACAAGAGGCCTCAATTCTCTGCTAGAGACAGAAATAGAGGAAGGAGATATATATGTATATATACACATACATAATCAGCAGTGGAGGAGTGAAGGGGGACGTGTTTGTGTATTATGTTCATAGAAACAAATCAATCTGCACCTGCATGACACGTAATGGTTGGACTCACGTGCCCCACAACTGACGGATGTTGTCTTTTTCCTCCTCTCCTATCTTGTAATAATCCTTACTCTGTAATCTCTATGTTCATGATTTTCCTTTTATTAATTAATTATATTTTTTGATTCGAGGAAATAAATATGTATGTATGTATGTATGTATGTATATTTTACTGGCACGTGTTTAAGCTGCCATCTAACACCGTTGTTTTTTACTAGAAACAGTATATAATTATTTTTACATATATTATCGGTAGGTATTAAGATGACTTCAGATTTGTACAAAACTTATTCTTGGGTAAGTTGCATGAAAGTCGTAAATCTGCTTGATAATAAGCAATTAGTAATTTGAGATAAGAAAATTAAAGGCATTGGTTATAGTTTAATGGATGAATGTGGACTAGAAATGGGGGCATATTCATGTGGGTCAAAACATTTTAACATCCACTAATGTTAGGACAAATTAACCTAGACGTCTTAAGGGCGAGATGCCCTTTTCCATCCACTAATCGTGTTTGTTCAATAATTAAATTTGGGTGCAATAAGGTTTGTTTTGGATTAACAATATAATAAGCGGCTGACAATGTCATCGAATAAAAGATTTGGTTTTGATTTTATGGACTTTTATATAGCTGTAATATTAACTGTTTTTTACCATGTAATTATTAAAATAAAAAAATAATGACATTATTCACATGTGATCATGTAAGAAGAAGAAAGTGAAATTCAAACATACATATACATATATATATATATATAACCATTTTATTTTAACTATTTAAATGTTGTATTTTATAGTTTTTTTTTTTTTACCTATGAAAACCACACACAAATAGAGTTTATCTTCTACCGTACCAACTTCAGTTAAATAAATATACACAATTAGTAACACACTCAATATAATCACTTCAAAATGGTTCAGACATTAATGGTAACAAAAGGTTTAGCCTCTTATTTGACATCTTATACCTTGAGAAAAATTAGTTGATTGGATAAAAAAGCCATTATCGTCTAAATAATACAAAAACATATTGCAAAATTTCTTCTCATATCAAACCACTTAATACGTATAGTACATATATATTATTTTAAGTATTAGCAATTATGTCTACATTTAAATAAGCTCGCAATTGACACTAAAATCCATAAATTTAAACACAAATACCAAACTATGCGGAATTCGTTACGTTTGAGTTACAGATCATAGTGAAATTGGCTCAAGAAAATTTTAAGCTAAATACTTGGTTGTTAGTAGAGTTGCGATTTGTTAACGTCAATTTTGCGCATTAGAATAAATAGAGGCAGGAGAAAATTGGTTGGCATGAACCTCATAATGGCTCAAGTATACTACTGATTCTGTGTTTTAGTTTATTTCAATCAGTTTGTTCCTATTCAAAATTGCCTGATTTATTCAGTGGTTTTTTTTTTTTCTTGTTAACTTTATTCATCCAACCTGCCATTACCTCTCGACCAAACAGAGATGCTCGTTTCAAAATTAAACAGAGATGCTATTAGGTAAAAAGAATCGAGTCCAGTTGAAGCAATAAAGATATATGATGATAAATATAGACAGAAAACAGAGAATTGACAAGCAAGTAAAACCAATTACAGAAATGACCCCTTGATCTTGGCTAAATGCAGGAAAAGAACAAAACAACCTTGCCCACATCCAGATATAGAAGAAAATAAACACAACCACTGCTTAACAATGCTGCAGAACCATCATAACCCACCCACATTTCACACTATTAAAAATAGTAATCATTTAAAAATTTTCCCCACTGGCCAAGGCAAAGCATTTAGCTAAAGCTGAAAGGGTACCTATCACACTTATGCTTGGTTACCGCCATCTCCTCTTGACCGACCACCGCTCATCCTTCCACCACCCATCCTTCCCCTGCCACGGTTGTACCCCCTGCCACCTCCACCTCTGCCTCCTTGATATCCAGCACCTACCAAAGTGCAATCAGCTCTGATAATCAGCCACTATTTCTTTCTACTCCTAAATGCCAACTAAAAGCAAGCACATGACGAACTATAATGTACTAAGCATCAAGGTGGCACATTCAATCATATCTTGCTTAGCTGAAGGAGGGCTAATTCCAGTATCAGTAAAAAAATTTCCTATCATACTCACCGATTATTCCCAAAATGCAAATATAAGAGCCAGATGCAGAATTCAGGACCATACATCAAAAGAACTTACCACGATATCCCCATCCTCGGCCTCGCCCACCACCTCTGCCCCAATTTGAATAACCTCCATTATCTAGCAGGAAAAAGAGCAAATTTAGGAGCAAGGTACCCCTTTGAAAAGAAAAGCAATACATTA